TTTCTTTCTTTCTTTCTTTCTTTCTTTCTTTCTTTCTTTCTTTCTTTCTCATTATAGAATATATTAACTACTAAAAAGCTAGATCTGGGTGGGATGTTGAGAACTGACACTCAGTGCATCAAAAAATAAACTTATCATCTTTTCTCCCTCCTTACTTCCCCTTTCCTTCCCTCCCTTCCTTTCTTAAATCTCATTCATTCCACATACATTTAAGGCTCACATACCATCGCCAGATAGGATACCAAGGAATGAGTATGTAATCATGAGTAAGATAGTTACGATCCCTGCCCTCATACAATTTACAAATAGCAAGTAGGCACATTTAACAAATGAATTACAGAAATAATTATATCAAAGTAGAGTTGGTGAGTGCAACGAAGAAAAGCTCAGAATTCAGCACAAGTAACTAATGTGCAGAAGATGAAAATCCAACTCAGTCTGGGGAGCGCCAATCCAGGAAGGATGAAGTGGGGGTGGGGAGGTTTCTAAGCAGAGTTAACATAGTTTTACCCAGACTCATGCATCTTCTTTTTTATCTGTTTCCTTTCAAACACAATCATCCTCCCAGTCACCCAAGCTTAAAATCTTCACATTATTTTTGATACTTTATTCTCTTTTGCCTCAACAAATAATCAGCTGCCCAATTTTCGTGAATCAGCGTGTTCTTTCCTCTATTCTCTTGAATGTCTGGATTCCCATCCTCACGACAGTAGTTATATCCTTCTTTACCATTTTCCTACAGCTGTATGTTTTCTTTCATTCAACACATATTTATGAGCACTTTCTGTGTGCCAGCACTGCTAGTGACGTTACGACAGAATTGAACGTGATAAACATGGTTGTCACAAAGCCTACAAATCGAATTCAGTGCTGTGGATCTGGTGCTATAATCAAGTAGGGGCAGTGTGCTGAGTGCACAGGGAAGGTCTCCTCTTTCTAGAAGGAGAGAGATTTAGACTGAAGCCCATAGAGTGAGTAAGAATAAGCCACGCACGGGTGAGGCAGTTGGATTGTCTAAGGAGCATCCAGTCAGAAGGGAGAGCAGATGCAAGAATTGGAGGGCTGGCATAGGTGAAAGTACTGATGTTAAATAGAGGTAACTGGTGTCTATCATCCTAAATAATTTGGACTTTTTCATAAGAGCCCTGTGAGCCACTGAAATGTTCTATGCAGGAGAGTTAAGACAGCAGAAGCATCTGGGGACTGGAACAAAGGGGGATGCTGAAATAAGATACAAGAACAGGAAAAAGTTTGGTGAGGAAGATGATGAATCCATTTTGTGTTGTTTTGTTTTTCTCCCAACTGGCCCTCTCACCTTCAGTATCTTCCCCTTCCATAGCATCCAACCCTCATGCATGCTGCTGCCAGATTAACTCCCTGGAACCCACTTCTGATCTCAATTTAAAGAAGTTTAATGACATGTCTGCTCAGGGAATAAAATCTGAATTCCTGGCTCTTTTATTCAAAGCTGGTTCCATCTCTGTTTTAAAGCTTGATTTTTAGTGTTGCCCTTTATGTCTTCCTGGCTGTAAGCATATACTCTATGCTCTTGAAGCTCTCCCACAACTGTGCCTTTGTCTTGGGCTCCCTCCCCCTTTCCTATTCGCTTACATACTTAAACCCTCTCCCCCTCAGGTTGTTACTCAGGATAACTTCACTTGTTTCCACTGAGAGTAATTTCCCTTTTCTCTGAATCCTCAATATGATTCGATTCACAGTATGCTAGCATTTGTCACCTCCCCCATGTGGTAGAACTACTTAGAGAGGCAAGATGTGAGCCCTGGAACTCAACTGCCTGGATTCAGATCCTAGCTCTGACATTTCCTGGCTTGTGACATTGAGCGCATCTCTTAAATTCTCTATGTGTCATTCCTCCTCTGTAAAATAACGTTCCTACTATGTAAGGTATTGTGGGGATTAAATAAGTAAATACTGTAAAAATGCTTAATTTCATGTCTAGCAATAGTGCTGTGTAAACATTTGGTATTATCATGCCATTATTTTTATCATTTACACGTAGCATCCATTCTTCTAAACTATAACCTGATAACCTAATGCACATTGGATTTATCCTTATGACTTCTAAATCACTTACTGCCTCACACAGAGTAAATAAATAGTGAATTATGAGTTAGAATCACAATGATTAGTGAATTGTAATTGGACTTTTCAAATACTTTATTTTGTATATAATATTTTCTTTGTTAAATTGACTAAAATAATCATTGACCAAACATTTAACATATTTAAATTTTCTGTGTGTGAAACACATGGAATATATGGAAAAGCATGCCTTTTCTGATTTTACATTGATTCAGGGAGACCTCCCCCCATACAATTAACTACAGTATAAGATAAAGTAAAAAAGTATACAGTCAAAATGTGATAAGGGGAATTCAGAGAGAGTGGGTGGAACAATCAGAAAAGAATTCACTGCGATAAGATATAATTATACTGCAGTGAGAATGGTCACTTTTAGAACAAAGCATGCATAAATCAACTCTCCTAATGGTATTAGCCAAACTTTATTGAATGCTCAATGTAGCAGGCACTATGTTTATCACGTTCAAACTTCAAAACAGTACCACCTAGAAGTATTAGTGTTGTGTTCATTTTAAAGATGGGAAAACTGAGGCATAGCAAGGCAACATTAAGTCATTTGTCGAAGCCACACGACTAGTAAGGAAGAGAACCAGGATTGGAATCCAGGGAGACTGGATTCAGAACCTGTGTTTCTCTACTACAAAATTAGGAGTTCTACTTCACTATTGCTGAACCATTTCTAACAATATATTTTAGTAAGTTCAACAGAATTTCACTTTCTATGATTTTTAAGCTTATACCTCATCTGTAGATATTGAAAAAATTGACTATTATTCTTTCATTTATTTCTGACCGACTCAATCTCTCATTAATTCTTCCTCTAATTCTTCATCTGTGAAATAAAAGTTGGAAGCTAGAACAGTAGTTCCTGAATAATTCAAGAGCATTTTTTTCCTTCAAAATAAAAAGATATGCAAACTTTTATATTACATTGGTCACCTTTGCTTATTCATTCCCTTATCCATTACTTGGTGTGCAATGGAAAACTTTGCAATAAGTCACAGGACTTTTCAGCTTCCAAGAATCTACTGTGCTAGAATAATCTTTAGAACCATTTCTAGTGGAAACATTTGAGCTTTTGTATATTCTAGACTTTAGGTCTCCCTCTCTCTCTCTCTCTCTCTCTAGTTTCTAATGTGTCATTTCTCTGTGCCATTAGAAGGAACACATGTGATCCCCCAATCCCTTAATCTTCTATCAAGTTTTCTCTATTTGTTTTTTTTTCCTCCTAAATTTTCACTTCTTCCTAAGGCTCAGATTCCTGACTAAACAATACAGCCTCTTTTGCAGAACTTATAATTACTATCAGACCCTTGTGTAAAGGAACTATTTCTAAAATATGTGAGCTAAATAAAACTTAGAATATGCATTTACAGAATTTTAACTTGTTTTGTGAAAATAATCCATAAAAGAACTGTTTTTTATGTATCAATTTTTGGATGACTCCAAATACTTTCCTGGTATATTGAATTTTAAAATAACATCTTTATCTCTATCCTCAGCGTAGACCTAGTAAATTAGAATATTAAAGGCAAATACCACATATACACAAAGCAACATTATCTCGGGGCCACACCTATTTTTACCTTCCTTTGATTTCTTCATAATACCAGCCTTTTTCCCACTCCTTGAGAATGTAATTCTAATGGTATTGGAAGTACTTAGTTTAATATCTTCGTATGGTAGAACTACTTGGGAAATACCAGCAGAGAGTTATAGGTAATGCCATTCTTGGCCCTGCTGGAGAGTGGGGCTTCATTTGTAAGATGTCCCCCACCCCATGTCCCCCAGCCATGCTTTATGTTTCCCAATATTTACATCCTTAGGATAGAAAAATGTAAAATAACACTCAGGGTTTTAGGGGTGAGTATTTGAGGAGTTTTTCTGTTATGATGACCTTGTTTTCGGCAAAATCAGTTCAGGCCAGCTGCTCTAACATCAAAGTCTACATTTTTCTCAACAGCATTTATTCTTTGGATTGTTTAAGTGGGGCCAAACCAATTCCTATTCTATGAGGGCTTGTTCAAAACCAAAATACCAGTAGCGTATGAAAGGTAGCACATACAGTGCCTTGCACATGCCTTTTGACCACCCCCTGGAAGTGGCCACGTGTTCTTTGTATCCCACTGAACCTGCACAGATGCTCAGACAGCACCTGTGCTACGTTAATACAACTCCTCACCTCCAGGTCTCTCTTTTTCTTATTAACCTTTGTGTCTACAGCTTCTAGTAGAGTGTCTGGCTCCTGGTAAATGCTTCATTAATATTTACTCGATGAAAACTCTGGAGTGAGAAGAGAGGAGTTAGTGAAGCAATTGAGCCAAGTACTAAGTGGAGAAAGTACTACAGAGTGGGAGATTGACTGGGGACTACAGTACAGGCTAATCCTCTCAGGGCTAGTTCAGACTGGGGAAAGGTACTGCCAGAAGTGTGGAGGTGGGAATCAGCAAGGCTCCAGCGAAGTATCATAATGGAGGCCAGCCTGGCTGGCCCTCTGGGGTAATAAAGAGCATTAGGTTTGAATGTACCACAGGCTTAGAGACAATTGATAGAAACTCCTGAAAGTTAAAAGTTAAGGAACTTAGGTTTGATTGGAAAACAATAGGGAGACTCTGCAGTCCTTTGATATGGACAATGAATGATCAAAACAATATAAAGTTTTGTTCAAAAAGATGTGTGCTTATGTTAAAATTCATATGTGTTAAACATCAGATTATGAAATACTATTTTAGTCTATGGGTCATCAGTTGATCCTGAAGGTCTCTTTCTTTCTCTTCTCATCCCACAGGTTGTTATTTTGTACTTTGAGCCAAGCACATTTCGCTGTATTCTCCTAAGATGGGTCCGTCTTCTCGGTTTTGCTACTGTTTATGGAACTGTCACTCTCAAGCTTCACAGGTACATTATATTTCCTAAGTTTTCATTCCCAGGAGAGGATCAAAGTGTCTTGGCATGTCATTGCAAGCTGGGTCAGCCACATAAATGGTTTAATTTCAAGAATTGAGATAGCAAGATGATATATATTTTTCATTTTCAGGGCAATATTATTAAGAATCTCTAGGAGAATCTTTAATACAACTGAATTTGAACAACATGCTTTAATAAAATATGCCATTAGGTATGAAAATTTGAATTCTGAATAAAAAATAGTTTAGAATGAATGCAAGACAGTATTTACTAGCTAAGAATAGGAAGGAAGACAAAGACAGTACCGCTGAAATAATAGTCCAGGTCCCGAGCTACCAAAGAATCCTTACATAGTAGAACTCAGCAATATGCTTACTTGACATAAACTACTGTTCTTCATTCATCAATCACATGCCCCAGGGTGATCGGCTGATATTCTATCGGTGAATTTCAAAAAAAAAAAAAATGGTATTCTTGACTTTCCTCCTTAACCAGCGTGCTCTAGTGATTATCAACCTTGTAAATTAGATAATAGTGTGAATTCTTTTATACTTAGTTTCAAAACCACCTACTTTTCTTAATGTTTATGATAAATAGGAAGAATAAATAGGCAATATAATATATTATCTGTGCACAAAAGGGTTTCCCATGTCTCCTCTTTGCAAGCGCTCTCAATGCAGTGGTGCCAAAGACCATCAGAGAGAGAGATCGTAATTTCTCCTGCATGATAAATCTGCAGCCCTGTAGAGGAAAACCTTTATGCTGATTAGCTTTAAAGTCATTTTTATAACCATAGAAAACCATTCATATTTCCATGTTAATTTGATCGTGTTTCTCAATAAAAGTATTTTAATATGGCTCAGAAAGCAGCTTATCTTAGAGCTATAATATGTGTTACATTTATCTTTAAATGTTCCCCTTTCAATCTTAAAATGTGATCATTGTATTGTGTATTACACAAGAAGCTCCATTTCTTTTTCTGGTTGTTGCTTTTTGTTCTGTTTTGTTTGTTTGTCTTGTTTCATTTTTACTTATTTACTGGGAATGCTCCAGACTGTCTTTTCAGAATAAATGTAAATATCCTTAACTCTCAAGATTCCTTTCTTTTATATATGTCCTATAGTACACAGCACATTGGACTGGGTTTTAGGAAATCCAGCTTAAATCTCAGTTCAGCCTCTAACTCTAGGAAAGCATAGGCTTCTATTTCCTATAAATGGAAAGGATTGGACAAATCTCTACTGTTCTTTCTGACATTCGCTTTATTCTTCCCACACCACAGCACGCTTTGCTATTGTGTTCTCGTAGTCTCCAAGTGTCTTCCAGTTTTCATTCCTTATATGATAGCTGTTTTCAGCTGGTGTTCACCAAAGAAAATGAGTAATCGTTGTTATTGCTTATAACAGACAATAGGCCTTCTAGAAATCCTGAGAGAAAGGATGATCTCTTGAGATTTAAAAATTATCTTTCTCCCTGTGAGTCTAACACTTGGCATCTCTTGGGTTCTTTATTATGTAATACAATTTGTTTATTTAATTATCTTCTTCATTTTTACCTAATTTACTTTCTTTTTGAAATGAGGGTCTTACCATTGAATCCCCACCTCTTCGCACAATGGCTGATACATTGGAGGTGTTTAATACACGTTAGTCGATGATTGAATGAATAAAAATGTCAGATGCAGCCTTGAAAGCTGCTTCCAACAGTTCTCTCCACACATAATGCATTCATTCATAGGCCCCTGACTCACTGTATGTCCCCAAGTATCTACAACATATAACTCTGGTCTGTAAGAGGCTGTTTGGTGGGATGCAAATATAGTATTAAATAGCGCTGAATCATGTAATGAGAAAATTACTTCCATTTAGGTTCTCTTTCCATCCTTCTGATTATATCCAAGAGAAAAATTAGTGTGGAACCAGTAGGTCTCTGACACCTGCCAAACAGTTTCTAATCCTCCTTTGCAACAAAGAACAGATCAAGCTTTGGGCTCAGAGCTGTGCACTGCAGTGCTGTCTGGATATAAACTATTAACTCTCTCATTGCACTTCTATACTTACTTTACATTTCTGGATTATCGGTTCTTCATTGAAAGTAGCAATATAAAGTTTCCTTTAAAATATTTTAAAGCAATAAATAGAAATTGATTTAAAGAATGTATAGCTTGTATGCAGACCTAGGCAGAAATCTTGAGTGGGGTCTGCAAATGATTGGAATTTGAGAAACTAGTTTAGTTCATCATTCTTTTGTTTAAAGACTGGAATTAACGCTCTATCTTTGTATGTATTTCTAGAAGTCATTGTAGTGAAGAGTTACCCCCACTGAAGTCTAAATTGAATAGAAACTGTTTCTAACTTAATGAGCTGAGTTATTCTTATCCTGTCTGAAACATATGGCTTCATATTATATTCTGTTTTTTTCCATATTGTTTAAATGAACTGATTCCAGTATTGTTTAAATCTATAAAACTGAACAGTTAGTATCCAAGAAGAATGTGAACAACCCAATGAAAGTGACGGCTGAACCAGCTTTGTATTCTCCATCCTTAGTTGTGCATCTTGCCCATATTTATACATTTAGATATTTGTTAAGTGAATGAATGGGTTATAGTGAATGGAGCAGCTAGGGGTGTCTTTGGTTGGTGTCTTTTAGGTTCAAGCAACATGTGGCCCTGAAGAAATGACTTCTAAGATTTTGTAGTAACATGATAAAGAGGAAAGACATAAATCCTAACAAATCCAAATTTGAATTTTAATCCTGCCATTAACTATTTACAAAACCAAAAAAAATTATTTTAACATCTGAAAATCAGTTATCTCACTTCACTTGTAAAGTTGTTGTAAAGACTAAATATGATTGGAATATATGTAAATATATCAAGGGGGAGGGGTTACTATGGCTAAATTAAGCAAAAAGGAAATTCATTGGAAGGATAGAAAGTCACAGAACTAGGCTTTAGAGAACCTGATCCAAGGTAGATTGAGGAATCAAGATAGCATAATGAATGCCATATATCATTTTCACAGAAACTTCATTTTTCATTTCAAGATTTTTTTAAAGGTAAACCCAACTCTTTAGGCAGAAAAGTCTAAGGAAATTATCAGTACAGACATATAAGATGAATGTTATAGTCGCTTGAGAATAGGACAGGCAAAAAAGACCTGAGTTTTTGTTTTATTTCAGTCACTTCCCCCAAGGTTTAGTAATAGAACATTTCTTTCTCCATCTCCTGGTTTCTCATTGATTGATTGTAGTGTTTACAGAATTCCAGTATCTCAGAAAACTTGAAGCAAATGTGAAAAAGGAACAAGATCTCTCTCACTCTGTCACAGAGATGATACTGTTAGCCTGGGATGGGGACTTAAAAGTTCCATGTACTTTTACCAAATCTTCTACTTTTTAATTTAGTGGTGTCTCCCCACATTTGAGACTCAAGCAGTCAAAGACTACAATGCCAAACCAAAGGATCACTAACACATGATGGAGATAAAAAGCAGACCAACTTTTAGTTGTCATTATTATTGCCTTAAATTATCTGTAGGCAAATCAGTCCCTTTGTTACCTACACCCTAGGGCAAACCAGTCCCACTGCCCCAACTTCAGGCAGTGCAATTTATTTGAACCTGAAACTATTTGTTCCTTTTTGGAGAAAGAAAGAAGGAAGAATGATCATGTTTTAGCTTGCTTAATATGGATCAAAAGGGGGAAAATAGTGTTGGAGTAGCAAAAAATGAAGGAGTTTCATTGATAAAAAGGAGTTTCCTTCAGGAACCATACATATGTTTGACTTGGGACATGAATGATGTAAGACAGATCTAAAAGAACATCTAGCACCTCCATGGATGTGTGTGTTCACAGATTACTTGCTAAGTTAAGTTGGTTTAAGAAAATTGGGAAGGCAGTATCTCTAGGTGCAGAAAAGCCAAGTATAATTTCAGGAGGCAAAATGAGGAAATGTTTTAAAGGAAAGGAGGTGGAAAGAGATTAAGAAACTTAATGCTAAAGGAACATTTTCTTATTCCCTATAATATGGTTTCTGGAAACAAATTGCTGTGTTCCTTTTTCCAAGGCTAATCAAGGAAAAACAAAAGACTTTGTTGTACTATATTTAAAATGAATATTTAAGCAAGCTGTGAAAAAGCCTTCTTCTGGGTCTGGATGAGGGATTTTCACTTCATACATTATTCAGTATTCCTTGCTCTAGATACAACACAATACATAGCAGTTTTCTCTACTGTGCTCATTAGCACCAAATATTTACACTTTGTGAGAAGGGTTTTATTTTATTTTATTTTATTTTATTTTATTTTATTTTATTTTTGGTTGTTTCCTAGTAAATTTTGAAAAGTGACTGGATGATATTTATATTTATTTATTTTATGTATTCTTTATAAGGATACATAAAATACAGTAAGGTATGTTAAATTTTTGAAAGAGCAAAAGAAAGAAAAGCAAGTGTGGGACTATATAAAGAAGCTAAGAGCTTGTAATAAGATGAAGGTTTCCTTCTTTAGCTTAACTTATGATAACCACTGGCTGGCAGGCAATTTGAGATAGGAACTTAGGCAAATTAGACTGTCTATTAGCTGCAGAACCATCTGCCTTAACAGACCATTGAGCAAGGTGTTGGTTAGACCTCATTTATGAAAGCCAAAAAAATAACAACTTTTGTTCTTAGGTGGCTGAGCAAATGCCTCTGGGCATACACAAGATTACTCTAAAACTCTTGCAGTTAACTCCAGCTCACAGATGAATGATGTTGAAGGTCCCAAATCATGGTCCATAGGGGTTTGAATATGAAATAGTTTCAAAATGGTTTTAGCCAGTTGCCCACCTCAACCAAAATAATGTCTCAATTAAACATCCTTTGAGCATGTAACCACAGACATTGCATTTTGACTAGGAAATGGGAAGAGTTTGCCATATGGATCATGATAATGATGATGATTTCAGGTCCTCCTTTCTGCTGAGTTCACTGTGATTTATCATCTTTTCCGGCTGCCTACTCTGGATTTAGAATACCTTCACATGGAGAATTACTCATAGTAACATTTCTTGAGAACCATATTGTCTCAGAGAAAAGGGACTCATAAGCTTCTGAGGAAGGTCTCTTTTCCTGTTAGAGTTATATTTGGACATTGTTAAAGAAAAAAAATATTCTGACACTCATTAAAGAATGGTGAGACAGACTTCATTCAGGGGTCAATGACAATGGAGTTTTACAGCAGGAGAGAGAGATTGGGCTCAACTCTGAAGATAACAAGGAAAAGTGGAGATTAACAGTTAAGGAGCAGTAGATGGAAAACTACTAAGAGAAAGCATCAGAGGCAAAGGTGAATTTCTTGCTAAACCAATTTGATAGGAGTCTTGACAAAGGCAAGCCACGGTGGTCTCAGATATCAAGGGTGGGAGATTGTCCCAAAACTGACTTAGTAAGAATCTTGCTACAATTGGGCAGTGTAAAGACAAGGGAAATCCAAAGAGAATTTACTTCTGCTTTTTTCTCTTTTACTGTGTGGATTAAAACAACAACACACCTTGAGCTTCTATGTATTTTGAAACCTACTATCTCAGGAATTTGTTGCAAATTGAAATTTAGGCATTTATAAATTATAGAGAATATAGTCATTACACAAAATTTAATTAGTAATTGAAGCAATTATATCCTTTTATTGGAATAATTGAAACTTAATTTTAGGAAAAACAAACAAAAAGACAAGGGAAGTCCAAACATTGGGCCCAGTCGAGCAGAAGGTTCAGAAGAGCCTGGCTAAAGTTTGATTAAACAGAGACTCTTTGTTAATAGAAAACTAAGTAAGTTCCAAATTCAAAGAAAGTTACTTAGCTTCAGAGGCAGACTACCAAATACCCGAGACTTTACCTTCTATACCCACACTTTGCATTTACTGGAAAATAACTAGGTGCTCTATAGAAAAATGACATGCTTAGGATGAAAATTTAGAAAATAAGTTTCAAATTCATGTTTCAGAACTATGTCTAATACTGGCATTTTAAGAGGTTTGGGAAAAAAATTAGATTTGTAAATAATTTGACTTTCTCTTTACCTGTTTCTTAGTTCATTGAGTGCCAACCTAGGCTTTGTGAGATTAAGATTTAAACAGTTTCCCTAGAGATATTTTTACCATTTTAAATTATTTGCAATGAAACAGGAAAGATCAAAAGACATTTGGCTCTTAACAAGATAAATTTACCTCATAATTTCATTAATTCAAGAAACATTGGCATGGAATGCACCATAAAGGCTCACACTAATGCACAGAACTATTTGCGTGCTATCCCGATTCTAATTAACTTTCAGAAAGTGTGTGGTTACATACCTTAGCTTTGCAAGCCCTACATTTCTGTCATTCTGATCACTCATATGCTTTGAAGGACCTAGAAAAAGTGAGGCCTTGAAAACCTGAGAAATAAGCAAATTGTGTCCTCTCACTTGTCCTTCCTATACTCATCTCCCCTTTCTTGGAGTACTTGTAATCCGTCCACAGCTGTCTGAGACTGAGTCCTGTGGGACTTTGTATACAGCTAGTCCTTATGAATGGCTCTGCAGAAACCATGAAAATAGAGTCCCCTAAGCTCCAAGGAGTTACTCTTTGATTATAAAATCTCCAGCTGGAGGACAGGACAATTCCCTCTGCTCCTTCCTCCCCATCCTGCCCCTTCTAATGACTTCACGCTGCCCTGTCTGGCTTCCTACAGGACCCAAAGGTTTGGCCCAGCTGAATGGCCCTAAATATTGTTAATTATGTTGGTATGTTCTTGTCACTTTCAGAAGCTAATTAAGGGTTGCTGGCTTGAATAGCTTCATTTATGAATTAATATGCTCAATTTAATCTACTTATAGGAAATAAAAGGGGATATGTAAGCATATTGATAAAAGATAACTAGAGGTCTGTATTCATACAGAACCATTAACATCAATGAGCACCTTTTCAGTATAATTAGAAATAAAAACAAAATTCATTTTTTAATTTTTCTACTTTTCAGAATATATTAAATATTAGACATGAATAAAATGGGAACATTTCTCAGAAAACTAAAGAGATTTAAAGCGTTACTTATTTTGTCTGACTTCAGATGTCCTACTTGATTTTTTGTGATGCATAATTTTTAAATACCCTTTATTGTATAATATCTATATTCAAAGCTTTTTAATATTAAACTCCTTTTTTTGTTTTTGAGATTATATATATATGTGTGTGTGTGTGTGTGTATATATATATATACACATATATATATGTATATATATGTATATGTATGTATATATATATATATGTATGTATATATATATATATATATATATGGGGCTCTAATTAACATATTTCTATCAGAAACATTTTATCTCAAAGATTTCTGGAAATAGGTTTGAATGTAGAGTATATAGTTTAGGAGAGTTATATTGCCACATTGAAACTATGGGATGATTTTTTATTATGCCTGGATTGTAGTGTCACCTGTATATGTGTGTGTGCAATTCTCTGTGTGTTCCTTAACATTAAAATGCCAAATAAGACCATCTGCTACAGAATTAGCACTTCTTGGACTATAGTTGATAAATGCTTTTCCTAATGTTCTTTGTTAGAGACAGATGCCCTCAAGTGGAAATATTTCTCTTCCTCATGAAGTAGATGTGAGAGATAAGTGGGAAATGAGATTAATTCATTCATGTAGCAAAAAGAACGGCGACCACTATTAAGGCACAAGTGAGCTCACAGCAGCAGCACATGCACTAAAATTGGAAGGATGCAGAGAAGATTAGCACGGCCCCTGTGCAAGGGTGACATGCAAATTCATGCGAAGCTTCACACGCTTGACTCACCAACTAATATGTCTGTAATTAAATATATTAACTAAACATTAAAAATTTTTTAAATTTCTTAAGTTCTTGGGTCAGGTGCTCAGTCAGTTAATCATTCCGACCGAGCTACCAGGTCATGATCTCATAGTTGTGAGTTGGACCTCGGCGTCCGCCCTGTTTGTGCTGACGCCAGAGCCTGGAGCCCTGACTTCACATTCTGTGTCTCCCTCTCTCTCTGCCCCTTCCCTGCTCATGCTGTGTCTCTCTGTCCATCAGCTTATTAATTTTTTTTTTTTTTTTAATTTCTTAAAAAATAAATAAATAATAAAGGCCACAGTGAGACAGTCTGCTTCTGCAAGCTGTTTGCTGCCAGCTGCCTGCCGTTGTCTGGGCCCAGAGGCAGGGGCTCGGCTGGCGTTATTACGTGGACACACCTACGTCCTTCCTGATGCGCCATCTACTCACCTGGCCTCTGCTTACTCTGCTGTCCCTCCCCCAGCATTTACAAGTGTCCACTCCCAAATATTTTTTACGTTTTCATTCAGCTCAAAATAATTTCTACTTTGAATTATTCTTTGACCCACAGGTTATTGGTTATTTAGTTTGCAAATATTTGAGAGATTTTCCATAAATCTTTGTTTTTGATTTCTAATTTAATTCTGTTCTGGTTAGCACACATTCCTTGTATGACCTGAATCTTCTTAAATTTATTGAGACTCATTTTATGGCCCAGAATATAATCTATCTTGGTAAATGTTCCACGGGCACTTGGAAGAATGTGTCTTCTGTGGTTTTGTGGTTGTTTAATAATTTTGTTCATCTTTTATATCCTTATTAATTTTCTCTCTACTTGTTCTATTGAGAGAATAGTTGGAAATTTCATCTTTGCCTGTTTTTCCTCACAGTTCTTTCAGTTTTTACTTCAGATATTTTGAAGTTCTGTTCTTAGATGCATAAACATTTGGAGTTGTTCAGTCCTATTCATAGGACATGGATTCATGTCCTATCCATAATGATAAAGGATTGACTCCATTATGAAATGACCTTCATTGTCCCTGGTAATATTCTTTGCTATAAAATTTACTTTGTCTGATATTAATATAACCACTTTTTATTTCTTTTGATCAGTGTTAGCATGTTATATCTTTTTTCCCCATTATTTTAACTTTAAACCTTTGTTTTATATTTATTTTTAAAAGTGATTTTTTTAATGTTTATTTATTTCTGAGACAGAGAGAGACAGAGCATGAGCAGGGAAGGGGTAGAGAGAGAGGGAGACACAGAATCAGAAGCAGGCTCCAGGCTCTGAGCGGTCAGCACAGAGCCCGATGCAGGGCTCGAACTCACAAACCATGAGATCGTGACCTGAGCCGAAGTTGGTCTCTCAACCAACTGAGCCACCCAGGCACCCCAAACCTTTGTTTTACATTTAATGTGCATTTCTTGCAGAAAGCTTACGGTGAGGACTTGCATCTTTAAGTCTAATCTAACAACCTCCGTCTTTTAATTTGTGTATTTAGACTACTTTCCTTTAAACATGACTATTGTTAAGCTTGTGATTTTAGATAGTATTACCTGTATAATACTTTCTAACATGTCATTGTCTTGCTTGGCCTCTGGTTATCCTAATGTCCATCACACAGAATTCACATGTGTCCAGTTCAAAAGACTGGATTTGAGCTAACAAGGAATTTAACACTAAAAGCTCAACTATTCTAGAAATTCCTAGATAATGCAAAGTACCAAAACTGACTCAAGAAGAAATAGAAAATCTAAACAAATCTGAAACAAGTAAAGACATTGAAATTACTAATCAAAAATCTTCCCCTCCTGCCCCCCCATCCCCCACATACCAGTACTGGAAGGCTTCACTGATGAGTTATATCAATGATATAGAGAATAATTAACACTAATTCTTTGCAAACCATTCTGAAAAATAGATAAGGCAACACTTCCTATTCATTGTAAGAGGCCAATGTTACCCTGATACCAAAAATAAATAAATATATCACAGGAAAACAAAACTACAGACCAATATCTCTTATGAATATAGACATAAAAATCTCAATCCAGACAGAATCCAGCAACCTCTAAAAAGGATCATACATCACGACCCGGTGGGATTTAGACCATACAAAAATCAATCAATGTCATAGAGTACATTAACATAATAAAGGACAAAACCACGTGATCATCCCAACAAATGCAGACAAAGCATTTGACAAAACTCCAACACACTCTCATGATAAAACACTCTACATCCTTGGAATGGAAGGGAACTTCCTCATCCTGATAAAAGTTATCTATGAAAAACCCACAGCTGACATCATGCTTAATGATGAAGGACTGAAGTCTTTACCCCTAAAGTCTTTACCCCTTGTTCCTAAGATTAGGAACAAGACAAGAATGTTTGCTCTTGCTACTTCTAGCCAACATTGTCCTAGAAGTTCTCACCTGAGCAGTTAAGCTCCAAAAAGAAATAAAAGATATCTAGATCGAAGAAAGAAGTAAAACTGTTTCCAGATAACATGATCTTCTGTAGAGAAAATCCTAAGGAATCCACCAAAAACTATTAGAATTAATAAACAGGTTTAGCAATGTTGCAGTGTACACGACAGACATACAAAAATCAGTTGTATTTTACACATTAGCCACAGACTAAAACTGAAATTAAGGGGAAATTTTCATTTACAATAGCATAACCATAAAATATGTAGGAATAAGTTTAACAACAGAACTGCTAGAAAGGTGCCCTGAAGACTACAAAACACTGTAGAATTAAGGAAGACCTAAATAAATGGAAAGACATCCCTTGTTCATGGTTTGGCAAGTTCAGTATTTTCAGATTTCTATCTTTCCTAAATTGAATCAGCCTAATTCCTATTAAAATCCCACTAACTTTTTTGTGGAAATTGACAAGCTGGTTCTAAAATTCGTATGGAAATGCAAAGGAACTAGAATAGCCAAAACAATCTTAAAAAAGAAGAAGAAAGTTGGAAGACTCACACTTCCTGATTTTAAAACTTACTTCAAAGCTACAGCAAGAGGAAGAGGCACACAGATCAATGCCAGGTTTCTCCAGGCCAAAGAATGAGGTTGGACCTTTACTCTACACCATTTACAAAAATTAATTCCAAATGGATAAAAGACCTAAATGTAAGAGCTAAAGCTATAAAACTCTTATAAGGAAACACAAATATTCATAGTCTTGGAGAGAAACCTAAAGCACAAGCAAAAAAAGAAAAAAAGTAGATAAGCTGGACTTTATCAAAATGAAAAACATTTGTGCATCAAAGGATACTATCAAGAAAGTAACAAAATAACAGGGGTGCAAGGATAGGCAAGATGGGTGAAGGGTAGTGGGAGATACAGGCTTCCAGTTATGCAAAGAATAAGTCACAGGAATAGAAGGTACAGGGAATATATATACCAATGATATTATAATAGCATTATATGGTGACAGATGGTAGCTACACTTGCAGGGATCATAGCATAATGTATGAACTTGTCAAATTACTATATTACACACCTAAAAGTAATGTAACATTGTGTATCAACTATGCTTCAATAAAAAAAGTGAAAGAATGAAGGTAAAAATCATATCAACTCAATAGGTGCAGAGTAGTATTTGACAAATTCAACATCCATTGATGATAAAAACTCTCAACAAAGCAGATCTAGAGGGAATGTACCTAAACATACTAAAGGCCATATATGATCACAAAACCACAGTTAACATTGTACTCAGTTTTGAAAAGCTGAAAATTTTTTTTTTCTAAGATCAGGAACAAGACAAGGATGCCCACTTTTACCACTTTTATTCAACATAGTATTGGAAGTCATAGCTAGAACAATTAGGCAAGGAAAAGAAATAAAAGGCATCAAAACTGGAAAAGAAGAAGTAAAATTGTCACAACTTGCAGATGACATGATATATATAGAAAATCCTGAAGACACCACCAAAAATCTATTAGAACTAATAAATGAATTCAGTAAAGTTGTAGGATATAAAATAAATATACAAAAATCTGTTGTGTTTCTATACACTAATAACAAACTATCATAAAGAGAAATTAAGAAATAGTTCCATTTAAAATTGCATCAAGAAGAATAAAATACCTAGGGATAAATTTAACCAAGAGACCTGTACACTGAAGACTATAACACATTGATGAAAGAAATTGCAGACACGAACAATTGGAAAGAATGAAGCTGGAGGCATCATGCTCCCTAATTTCAAAAGATATTATAAAGTTATGGCAATCGAAACACACAGAGGTGGAACAGAAGACCACTCAGAAATCAACCCATTGACATATGGTGAATTAATTTACAACAAAGGAAGCAAGAATGGGAAAAGGATAGTCTCTTCAATAAACGGTGCTGGGAAAACTGGACAGCCACATGCATGAGAATGAAACTGGACCACTATCTTACACTATACACAAAAGTTAACTCAAAATGGATTAAAGATTTGAATGTAAGACCTGAAACCATGAAACTCCTGGAAGAAAACATAGGCAGTAAGATCCCTGATATCAGTCTTAGCGATGAATTTTGAATCTGATTCCAAACACAAAAGCTTTTATAAAGCAAAAATAAACAAGTGGGACTACATCAAAATAAAGAGCTTCTGCTCAGCAAAGGAAACCATCAACAAAATGAAAAGGCAGCCTACTGAATGTGAGAAAATGTTTGCAATTCATATACCTGATAAAGGGTTTAATAATCCAAAATATATTTAAAAACTCATAGAACTCAATAACAAGTGTGTCTGAGTGGCTCAGCCAGTTGAGCATCTGATTCTTGGTTTTGGCTCAGGTCAGAATCTTACAGTTCATGGTTTTAAGCCCTATGTGGCTCTGCCCTGGCAGTGCAGAGCCTGCTTGGGATTTTTTTTTATAATAGCCCCAAACTTGAACCAACCCAATGTCCAGCAACAGAAAAATGGATAAGCAAGTTGTTCCTGAAGTGATGGAAGTGTGGGTTATATAAGCTGTTGCATTCATCAAAA